CAGCTCAGCTCAGCTCAGCTCAGCACAGCACAGCACAGCACTGCACGGCACGGCACAGCACAGCTCACCGCACAGCAGCACAGCACAGCACAGCACAGCACAGCATAGCACACAGGGCATTCCTTCGACGCCACAGGGGGTGCGCTTGGGGTGGGGGCCCTATGCGCTGCAGGCCCCCACGGCGTGGCAGGCGTGGCACTATCTGGGCGCCACAAGGGGTGCGCTGGGGGTGGGGGCCCTATGCGTTGCAGGCTCCCAGGGAGTGGCAGGCGTGGCATTTCCTCGCCGCCACAGGGGGTGCGCTGGGGGTGGGGGCCCTATGCGTTGCAGGCTCCCAGGGCGTGGCAGGCGTGGCATTTCCTCGCCGCCACAGGGGGTGCGCTGGGGGTGGGGGCCCTATGCGTTGCAGGCTCCCAGGGCGTGGCAGGCGTGGCATTTCCTCGCCGCCACAGGGGGTGCGCTGGGGGTGGGGGCCCTATGCGTTGCAGGCTCGCAGGGCGTGGCAGGCGTGGCATTTCCTCGACGCCACAAGGGGTGCGCTGGGGGTGGGGGCCTATGCGGCTTATGCGCTGCCCTATGCAGGGCGTGGCAGGCGTGGCATTTCCTCGACGCCACAGGGGGTGCGCTGGGGGTGGGGGCCCTATGCGCTGCAGGCTCCCAGGGCGTGGCAGGCGTGGCATTTCCTCGACGCCACAGGGGGTGCGCTGGGAGGTAGGAGGAGGAGGTAGAGGAGGAGGAGGAGGAGGAGGATGAGGAGGAAGAGGAGGTGGAGGAGGAGGAGGAGGAGGAAGAGGAAGAGGACGGGGATGTGGGGCAGCAGCAGCGGCAGCAGCAGCAGCAGCTGCAGCAGCAGACGCAGCATCAGCAGAAGCAGCAGCAGCAGAAACAGCAGCAGGAGGAGGACACCGAGGAGGAGAAGGAGGAGCAGCAGCAGAAGCACCGATTGTACACATGGGACATACATTACGCTACCGAGGAACCCCACATACCTTTTTTGTTCCCATGTGTAACATCGGTGCTTCTGCTGCTTTTCCTCCTTCTCCTCCTCGGTGCCCTCCTGCTGCTGCTTCTGCTGCTCCTGCTGCTGCTGCTGCTGCTGCTGCGTCTGCTGCTGCAGCTGCTCCTGCTGCTGCCGCTGCTGCTGCCCCGCCTCCTCCTCCTCCTCCTCCTCCTCCTCCTCCTCCTCCTCCTCCTCCTCCTCCTCCTCCTCCTCCTCCTACCTCCCAGCGCCCCCCCCCCCTGTGGCGTCGAGGACATGCCACGCCTGCCACGCCCTGGGATCCTGCAGCGCATGTGGCCCCCACCCCCAGCGCACCCCCTGTGGCGTCGAGGAAATGCCCCGCCTGCCACGCCCTGGGAGCCTGCAGCGCATAGGGCCCCCACCCCCAGCGCACCCCTTGTGTCGTCTAGGAAATGCCACGCCTGCCACGCCCTGGGAGCCTGCAGCGCATGGGGCCCCCACCCCCAGCGCACCCCCTGTGGCGTCGAGGAAATGCCACGCCTGCCACGCCCTGGGAGCCTGCAGCGCATAGGGCCCCCACCCCCAGCGCACCCCCTGTGGCGTCGAGGAAACGCCACGCCTGCCATTGTGGCCGAGGAAATGCCACGCCTGCCACGCCCTGGGAGCCTGCAGCGCATAGGGCCCCCACCCCCAGCGCACCCCCTGCGGCGTCGAGGAAATGCCACGCCTGCCACGCCCTGGGAGCCTGCAGCGCATAGGGCCCCCACCCCCAGCGCACCCCCTGTGGCGTCGAGGAAATGCCACGCCTGCCACGCCCTGGGAGCCTGCAGCGCATAGGGCCCCCACCCCAGCGCACCCCCTGCGGCGTCGAGGAAATGCCACGCCTGCCACGCCCTGGGAGCCTACAACTCATAGGGCCCCCACCCCCAGCGCACCCCCTGTGGCGTCGAGGAAATGCCACGGCTGCCACGCCCTGGGAGCCTACAACGCATAGGGCCCCCACCCCCAGCGCACCCCCTGTGGCGGCGAGGAAATGCCACGCCTGCCACGCCCTCGGAGCCTGCAACGCATAGGGCCCCCACCCCCAGCGCACCCCCTGTGGCGTCGAGGAAATGCCACGCTTGCCACGCCCTGGGAGCCTGCAACGCATAGGGCCCCCACCCCTAGCGCACCCCCTGTGGCGTCGAGGAAAGGCCACGCCTGCCACGCCCTGGGAGCCTACAACGCATAGGGCCCCCACTCCCAGCGCACCCCATGTGGCGATCTAAAGTGTAACGCATGCCGTGTCCTGCGCCATGGCTTGCTGAGCTGTGCTGTGCTGAGCTGAGCTGTGCTGAGCTGTGCTGCGCTGTGCTGTGCTGTGTGTGGGGGGGGGAGGGGAGGTGTGTGTGTGTGTGTGTGTGTGTGTGTGTGTTTGTGTGTGTGTGAGTGAGGAGACGCGGGTGCGCCGCGGCAGAGAAGAACACCATAACCCCACGAATCATATGGGGAAATAGGTATGTTGGGTTCCTCGGTAGCGTAATTGCATGCTTTTGCGTTGCAGTTTTGTTGCATCTGGTCTGGCTGGTCTGGCTGGTCTGGTTGGTGTGGTTTGTCTGGCTGATGTATGGCTGGTTTTGTCCGGATTGAATCGGAAACCGATGATACTCAAGGCGGATGGACAACGAAGTTGCGAGGAGGAGACAAAACAAAGGACAGAAGGCAGACAGAAATCAGACGACGGACTACGAGTATGATCGCGAGTGCAACGAGAACGACGATGACGACCAAGACGTCGAACGCTACGAAAACGAGGTCTTGTACGACGACTACCGCGTGTAGCCCCCCCTTCATTTCCTGAGGAGCAATGCTTTTCTGGTGGTCTGGCTGGTCTGGTGCAATGTGTTCTTGCGATTGTCTTTGGACGGGAAGGAGGGGCAAAGCAAACGCTTTAGACCACCTTCGCCCAAAATGTTGGTAAAAGGGTGGTGGGAAGGGAAAGAGAGGTGGTAAGGGAGGAGGGAAAGGGAGGTGGGAAGGGAGGTGGAAAAGGCAGTCCGGCTGCTGCGGAAAGGGAGGTGGAGAAGGAGAAAACATCAGCAGCCATCTCAGTTTTTTTCTACCAAAGCAAAGTAGGGCGCTAGGGCAAAGGAATTGTTCGCCTCGAGCGGATTGGAATACTACTCTTCTTCCTTCGCTGGACGTCGCTGATGCACGCGATGCTGATGTCTGGGAGGTTTGATCGGGCAGCGGATGTGCCCGGCCGGCAGCATGATGGTGATGGAAGGTGGCTCTCTCGGGTGTGGCCAGGACCCCAGGTAAGGGGACAAGGTTAGTGGTAGGGCCCCGGAGCCCCTAAATTGGCCAGAGTCACTAGACCAGATCTGCCGTAGCTGTTTTTTTTTCGGGTGACGGCAGTTGAGGGCGCCATCTTGCGTCTCTCAGCCGCCCACCAGACAGTCCAGCGCCCCGTGACGCTGCAGAGGCTTGAGCCAGAACAGTTTCGGGAGGACGCGCTCGGGAAGCCGGTGGAAAATGCAGAACTTGCCCCTCGGGCCCGCGGGCTCTGCGAGGACTCGCGGGGAGACCACTCGGGCCCCTTTGGAGCCGGACACAGATCTCACGCTCGGCCTCTTAGAGGTCGCTTGTCACAAGTAGGCTCTGGGCTGTGAGTCGCATGCCCAAGTGCTACATTTCGACGTTACGGCGTGGAGGCCTGCCCTTTGACTGCTGAACTTCCAGCGTACAGCGCGTGAGCTGCTGCAGCGTGCCTCACGGGGCAGAATTTCCAGCAGAGATCTCCTGCTCGTTGGGACCGTCGCGGGCGAGGTCCGTAGCCTTCGATTCAAGCTGTTCGGGCTCAAGCTGCCATGCGTAGGGGATCGCGACGCCCTGCCAGCGTCGTAAACGTTTTCGTCGCGATGGCACCCGGGAGTGAGATATCTCGCAGAAGCAGAGACTTCAGCGCCAGAGGAGGCAAGAACAAGATTATCAGCGTCGGCTCCCGAGGGAATCCGCTCGGAAGCGCCCGACGGCCCGACCCGCCCTCCGCGGATCACCCGCCCCCCGCGGCTGCTGCTCACGCCGCCCCCGCGAAGAACGGCCGCCCGCTCGCGGCCAGGAGGTCCATATTCAAGGGCATAAAAGACGCCCCTACCCTGGTTACGAGGCGCTGTGCGCTGAAACTCCTGCGGGCTGACAGGATAAACCCTGCGTGATGTGCCGCGTCCTGGCGGCTCTAGGCTTTGGGGGTTCCCAGGAGGTTTACAGACCACGCACTTGTATCCCAGGGTAGGGTCGTTTTTTCATCCCTCAACATATGGCGCTCATCGGGGAGTTGTTCGGCAACGAGACCCAGCAGTTCATCAGGGTCGGGCTCCGGGCGTGCAGAAACCGCCCGATGGGGTGGTGCGGAAGAAGACCAGGATGTCAGTCACCACGTGGCCACCTCCGATTCGCGAGAGAGAGAGAGAGCATGGCGATCTCCAGCGAAGTGAAGTGCGAGGAATCTCACGGGCCAACAGAGCAGAGCAGGAGGAACGGCTTTGAGCGACGACGTGATGGGGGATGAGCTCGAGCAAGAAGAAGGAATGCAACTGAGGAGGGCGGAGGTTTACAAGAGTAAGACCCAGCGCGTTGCCCAGAAGATGGCGCATCATATCCACCTCGGGGAGATCCTCGTACAAAGTGGGTTCCTCCAGGTTGCTGGAATGGTACAGTCTGGAGGCCAAGCGTTTTGATGCCCCACCCTATTTTAGCCCCACGAAAAAATAATCCCGAACAAACCAAAACATACCGAATCTCGATGGTTATCACGTGTCGGGCCCTGGGATACACTCGTCCGTCACCGTTTCGACACTGTTTCGGCACTTTACCAGGAGCTCGAACTTATTTCTGGGATGTGGCCCTTAAGTACGACGGGGGCATCAACATTCAAGTGGCATATGCTGGCAGGCTCGTTTTCAACATACTGCAAGGGAGAAGCTGGATTTCCAATTGTTCGTGTCGACGGTCTTTTGGATCAACCTTGTTTGGGTGGTCTTGGCGGTAAGCAGCGGGGATGCAGAGCTTCGACGAGCCCGCCCCGTTCACAATCGTCGCCTGGGAGCCGGCATTTTTCGTCATGTACCCAGCCGAGCTCGCCATCGATTTTATGGGATACCGAATGCATTTTTGTAAGAAGCCACGAGAGGCACCACAACTCCTTGGATCTAAGTTTTGTGGTACTTGCTCCCTGCTCCTCTTCGACTCTCTGTCTGCGTCGCCCTCGTTGATGCCGCGGATCCCCGCGTTGCGATCTTTGCAATTGATCAAGTGGAAGCACGCTTGCGCTCGGTCGGGGTGGTCGGCCGCCAGCCAGCGCTTATCTCCAGGATGATCGAAGGGAGACACCCGAGGGCACCAATCGCCCCTTTGATCATGGAGCTGGCGAGCGATGCCCGCCCGCCCCCTTGAGCTTGAGCAGGAACGGTAAGAAACGGTCCAACACGATGGGGGCACGGTCAGCGTGGCGGGCGGGAGCCATACCTCCCACGCGCCGCTGGGGTCTGCCGTCTGGTCGAGGGAGTCACGTAGCCTGGCCAGGATGCAAGGTTGCCAAGAAACACGGGAGGGCGAGGGAACGCAAGAGGGGGGAAAGGGGGGAGGGGGGGAAGAGGCGGCAAGGAGGCGGAAGATCCGAGGATGCCGGGGCCAGCTCGACATATGGATACCAAGCGCGTTTCCCGCCTTACTCGCCAGTGCGCTGCCCCGCGACCGGCTCGGAGGCCTGGGCATCTTCGGGCCACTCAGATGCACCACCCTCCAAGGTCCAAGCTGCGCCTCTGTCCAAACCAGGGGTCTCTATGGACGTATCGGGCAGGAAGGCCATTTCCTGTCCCGACACCGCGGCCCCAAAAGGCATGGCGTAGACCAGTGCGGGGCACGGGTCGGCCCTGATTTTGGGAGGATGTTCCGCATTCGTCTGGGTTTTCGAGTCACATATGTGGGTGTTTCTTGGGGTGTGAGCGTGAGTAAAGTATGGGAGTCGTAAGTGTGAGTAACATACAAGGGGGGTCCTGAGGTGTGGGTATCAAACCTGCTGGATCGTTCTCTCCGGATCTCGGTATTTTTTGAGCGGGAGCGTTGATTCTTGAGACTCCCTCACATACCTGTTGGATCGTTCTCTGCGGATTTTTTTTCGAGCGGGACCGCCTACTTTTGAGACTCCCTCTGTTTACGCAGCCCCTTCCCTGTCCTCTCCCCCCGCACCCCTCCCTCCCAACGCACGATCCTCCGTCCTGTAAGTCGCGTTGCGCCCGCCGTGTGAGCATGACTGCCGGTCATTTCGGGCGTGCTGTAGCCCATCGCCGTGAGGGTGAGTCGGTGGGCGCCACGTATACGGCAGCTTCATGTCGCGCCGGCGAGACAGCGACCCCAGCGCGGGCGGTCGGGGTCGAACGCCGCCGGTGGCTCAGAGTCGGCTTTTTGGGAGAACCCCAGGCACTCGAGGGGTGGACACTCCGCGCGGCGTCTGAAACTGACGCCGTTGTCCTCGCGACCTGGGCCTGCCGGGCTCCTGCGCCCATCATGGCCAAGCCCATCTGGGGCTCATGGTTCGGGTATGGCCAGGACCCCGGGTAAGGGGACCTGTTTTGTGGTAGGGTCCCGGAGCCTTCGAATTGGCCAGAATCACTAAACCAGGTCTGCCGTAGCTGGTGTCTTTTCGGGTGACGGCAGTTCCGGTTAGTGGAAACGGGACGGGGGGACGCCCCCGGTACAGATCAGTAAACCAGGTTCCAGTAAACCCAGTTTTACCAGTCCGAATGGTGGGCCTGGCCAGGATCGGCGCTGGCGTTTGGCATCTTCCGAAGGAGGGAGGATCGGGGGGACGGAAGGGAAGTGGCGGATGGTGGGCATGCGGCCCGTTTCGGCTCTGCCGACATGCACTTTTCTAGGTTTTAATGGCCGTTCCCGATGCCGGGAAAAAACAGTTGCATGTTAATGATTCCCAGTGTTAGGATGATGGCGAGTAAGAATTACCATGGGTGGCCAGTTATGCAACATCGCCGTGGTCGTGGTCGTCATTTGGATTGTGTCGCCGTCCTCCTTGCAAAGCTTACCCCAGCGGCAGAAACCTCGGTTGTTAATATGTCCCCGTAGTTAACGGCAATCGTCATCCTACGTTTGTCCCCCCCAGCTGTTCGCCCCCGCCCCCTTCTCCACCCCCAAGGAGAGGAGTGTGGGGTGTCGTCCTCGACTCGTCTGAGGCTTCAGGAGATTTCTGGGGGCTTGTCTCACGTTCTGGAGGCGTCCCTGGGCTCCATCCCCATCCTGCCCTCCGCCACATGGAGGAGGGATGAAGAGGATGGGTAGGGAGGAGGAGGGCGGAGGAGGCGAAGGAGGGGTGAGGTGACGGAACGGGGGGAGGGGGAGGGGCACAGTGTTGGGAGCAGGGAGGTAAGAGGAGCGAGGAGCTGGAGAGGTGGTCCTCTCTCCACCTTCTCTTCCACCTACTCAAGAAGAGCAGCGATGAGGAGGATCGAAGAGTACGTGTACTCCGAGAGTCTCTGCCGTTCTGGGCGGTCCATGGGGGCTGATTATAGGGCGTGCGCCTCATGGACCACCGGAGAGAAGTCAGGTCAGGTCTTTCCGCACGCAAGAAGGCGAGCCGCCCAGTGCGAGATGGGGAAGAACAGGCACCCGCCTAGTGCTCGAGCAAGTGACGTCTGCATCCTTACGCTTGCCCGTGCGACCAGAGGTCTGAGATCCGACGCCGCGAGAAGAGCATCGTGAGACATCACGACCGGAGCCCTGCACTTCGTCTTCCGGCGGCATCTCTCGAGCCAGGCGCTCTCTCGGCCCGACACCCAGACATGGTGCACGGCTTGAAGAAGTGGAGCGCCCGGGCCTCAGGGACTCTGCGAGGCGAGCTCCAGGACGACGTCGGCCATGCCTGTCCGTGTGCCCACGGGTCACCGTAGGCCTGCCCCTGCACCTGGCCGCTCGGGCGCGCCCCGGGGGCCTTGGCCCTGGTGCCTGCCACGAGGGCGCGCGCCAACCCCGAGGGGCGGCGCCGCGGGCGGCGGTGGCGGCGTCGGCGGCGCCTGTTGGCGGCGGCGCGGCGACGGCGACGGAGCGACGGCGAGTGGCTCGCTCGAGGCGGCGCTGGAGGTGGCGTGCGGCGGCGCGAGCCCGCCTGGCCGGTCGCGGGCGGCGTGGAGGTCGGCCGCTCCCGGCCGCCGCCGTCGACGCCGTGCGACGATGCCGTACACCATTGCCGCCGCCGTCGGCGAGGTCGTCGTCGTCGTCGCCGTCGTGGGGCGTGCTTTTCCGTGGTCGTGCCATCCGCCGCCGCCGCCATCGTCCGCCGCCGTCGTCCGTTGCTCGCCGTCGTCTGCCGTCGATGTCGTCCGTCGTTTATCGTCGCCGCCGTCGTCCAGCGTCGGCATCGCGCTGCAGCCGCTGTTCCCTTCGTCCGCAGTTCGCAGTCCAAGGCCGTTTGTCGCCGGCCCCGTCGTTCGTCGTCGTTGACAGCGTTTTTCATTTTCGTGCGTCGTCGCCGCTGCCATCCTCCGTCCGTCGTCGTCCATCCGACGTCATCTTCCGCGGCCTGGGAGTAAGTAGGCGGGAGGAGAGTGCCGAGGGGAGAGGCAGCCAGGGAAGGGGCTGCAGGTAGAGGCGGGGGGGTGCAGGATGGATTCGCGAAGGAAGTGGGACGGGGGACCAGCGTAATTTCCGGCGGAGACGGGCAGACAAGTAGGAGGGGAGGAGGACGCGAATGCGGCCCCAGACGAGACGGTGCGTGGGGAATCCTTACGTTTCGACGTCATTGCAAGAGACAATCCGTCAGAAATGACAACTGGAGCCCTGGGCCTAATCTTTCGGCGGCGTTTCTCGAGCTGGTCGATCTACTTGGGTCCTGGGAGCCACAACGCAACGCAACGCAGCGAAGCTCGGGGCACAGCTCGGGGAGCAGCTCGCAGAACAAATGGAGGTAACACGCAAAATAGACGTGGTGCAACAAAATTTGTGAAATCTATTTGGTGCAGTGAACGTGGTACAGTTGTTGTGCTCACGAGCGCGTGAGCATGTCGTCATGCCGTGTGCATCATTACGCGCGCAATGGTGGTCGAACGATTTCAAAGCTGGAATTGTCACCTACACCGCTCGCGCAGTCATCCCACCCTCTCACGCGCAACCTGGTTTGCAAATTCTATGCGGCGGCAGTTGCGATGAGTGCTTGCTGCGCATATGTGCGGCCGCGCTACCCCGCGCATGCTCGCGCGCACGGCGGCAAGCTAGTTTGACACGGCCGACGCGATCGCGGTGGCGCTGACCGTTGGGCATTTCCCGGGCCATTTCCCAAGCCGCGCTGTCGCGCGGGCGCTTCAATGCCATTCGGTGACTTGGGCGGGTGCGGTATCATGGCGACGTCGATACCGATGATGGTCGCAATGACGACGCTGACAACGGCAAGTCCAATGACGGCATCGATGATGATCACGCCGATGATGATTGTGTTTTCGCGTCGGTGCTGAAAATTTTGAAACGATTTCGACATGCGCGCTCGGCCGACGTGCGCGAGTGGCCCGCACTGTAAAAGTTGACACGGATTGCCCCCCACGGGCACGCGTGCAAGGGTATTCGAATGATTTCGACACGCGCGCGCGGGAAACTCGCTTGGTCGTTTTATTCAATGTTGATACACTAGAGTATTCGTACAAATATCCAAGAGCGCGCGCATATTTTGAAACAGTAACTGATTTTGCAACCAAATGTGTTTGTCAATGTGTCGGGGCGTTCGATTTTGCAATCGCTTCGAATCCTAAGATTTCTTCCCAGATTTCCGGCATGCGCGCGCGACGACGCGTGCGTGCCGCTTTTCGTTAAATTCGCATGGTTTTTTTTAGAAGTAATGATTTATGATGGACGAATGTATGCGCATAGTGGATACGAACTCAAATTTAAGATAGACGATGGGTCAGGACCACACGTACACTTCCATACAAAAGGGCGGGCGGATGATCGAGGGAAAGGGGGTGGTAGAATTGAATTCATCAATCAAACGGAATCTACGTGGTGCAACGTATGTGGAACAATATTCCCCAAACAATGCTTGTCCTTAGTGGTTCTCGATTCACCTCAAAAGAACTTGGTTTGTGTGTAGGTCTGGCGGTTACGTAGCCGCCATCACCCCGTCGCCGCCTCGTCGCTGCCCGTCGTCTGGGCCTGTGTGTCGGTTTGGTGACTATGTTGCAGCCGTCGCAGTCCCGTTGCCGACTCATCGCCAGCCGTCGTCTGCGCGGGTGTGCCGCTGTTGCGGATACGTTGCTGCCGTCAACGCCCCATCGCCGCCTCGTCGCCGCACGTCGTCTGGGCCTCTCTGGCGGTCTGGCG